TCTGCCAGACTCGAGTGATTTTGGGCAATTTTTGGAAATCGTGCATCTGGAACTTTCTCTTAAAAGTTGTTCAAGCTCTGTTTCAAAAATTCGCCCTTTTGCGCTCGATGCAAATAGAGCGCTGTAATTGCTGCCGACTCTAGAGCAATATTGCCTTTATTGGGTATCAGGGTTTCAAACCGCTACTAAATTTAAGTGATTTTTGACAGTTTTCTAAAACGTTTCAAGTTTCAGTTTTGTGCAGGCTCTGTTTCAAAAATTTGCCTGCTTGAGCTCTCAGCAAGTAGAGGGCTAAAATTTCTACCACGCATAGAGCAAAGCCGCCCCTAGGGGCCCACGAAGTTTCAAACCTCTACTAAACTCGGGTGAACTTGGGCAATTTTTTTGAAACCGCCCTTCTCACACTCTCTGTGAAACATATGCAAGCTGTTTCAAAAATTCGCCCCCTCTAGCTCTAGCCCGCCAGACCCCTGAAACTTCTCTGGCATTTAGAGCAACATCTCTCCTATCTGCTTTTAGAGTTTCAAGCTTCTACCAGGCTCGGGTGATTTTTGGCAGTTTTCTAAAAATCCCCACCATCAAACTCTCTTCTCAAAAGTGTGCAGGCTCGGTTTCAAAAATTTTCCTGCTCGCGCTCTAAGCGGGCAGAGCCTTCAAATTTTTACGAAATATAGAGCAAAAGTGATGCTATTGTTCAACCGAGTTTCAAACGTCTGCCAGACTCGAGTGATTTTGGGCAATTTTTGGAAATCGTGCATCTGGAACTTTCTCTTAAAAGTTGTTCAAGCTCTGTTTCAAAAATTCGCCCTTTTGCGCTCGATGCAAATAGAGCGCTGTAATTGCTGCCGACTCTAGAGCAATATTGCCTTTATTGGGCATCAGGGTTTCAAACCGCTACTAAATTTAAGTGATTTTTGACAGTTTTCTAAAATGTTTCAAGTTTCAGTTTTGTGCAGGCTCTGTTTCAAAAATTTGCCAGCTTCAGCTCTCAGCAAGTAGAGGGCTAAAATTTCTACCACGCATAGATCAAAGCCGCCCCTAGGGGCCCACGAAGTTTCAAATCTCTACTAAACTCGGGTGAACTTGGGCAATTTTTTGAAACCGCCCTTCTCACACTCTCTGTGAAACATATGCAAGCTGTTTCAAAAATTCGCCCCCTCTAGCTCTAGTCCGCCAGACCCCTGAAACTTCTCGGGCATTTAGAGCAACATCTTCTCTACCCGTGGCCAGAGCTTCAAGTTTCTACCAGGCTCGAGTGATTTTTGGGGGTTTTTTAAAAATCCCCGCTATCGAATTCTCTTTTCAACACTGTGCAGGCTCGGTTTCAAAAATTCTCCTGCTCGCGCTCTAATCGGGCAGAGCCTTGAGATCTTTCCTAAATATAGAGCCATGTTGACACTATTGTTCAACCTAGTTTCAAACGTCTGATAGACTCGAGTGATTTTGGGCAATTTTTGGAAATGATGCATCTGGAACTTTCTCTTAAAAGTTGTTCAAGCTCTGTTTCAAAAATTCGCCATTCAGCTCTAATCCGCCAGACCCTTGAAACGTCTACGGCATTTAGAGCAACATCTTTTGTATCTGTGGCTAGAGCTCCAAGCTTCTAGCAGGCTCGAGTGAGTTTTGGGAGTTTTTTAAAAATCCCCACTATCGAACTCTCTTTTCAACACTGTGCAGGCTCGGTTTCAAAAATTCGTCTGCTCGCGCTCTAAGCGGGCAGAGCCTTGAAATTTTTCCGAAATATAGAGCAAAGTTTACGCTATTGTTCAACCGAGTTTCAAACTTCTGCCAGACTCGAGTGATTTTGGGTAATTTTTGACAATCGTGCATCTGGAACTTTCTCTTAAACTTGTGCAGGTTCTGTTTAAAAATTTGCCCTTTCTCTCACTCTGGAAATAGAGCGCGGTAACTGCTGATGAATATAGAGCAAATGTGACTCTTTTGAGTGGCGTAGGTTTCAGACYGCTTTTAGTCTCTAGTGATTTTTAAGAGTTTTCTAAAAATCTTCAATTTCGAACTGTGTTTAAAGAGCGTGCAGAATCTGTTTAAAAAATGACCCCCCCCCCCGAGCTCTATGCAGGTAGAGCACTGAAATTTAGCCAGCATAGAGCGAGGTTGGCTCTATCCGTGACAATATTTTCAAACTTCTATCAGGAATCTTGTGAATTTCCAAAGGGTTTTTCTCAAAATCTTCACTACCAAACTCTGTTTTAAACAGTGTGCAGGCTCTGTTAAAAAAATTCACCGTCTCAAGCTCTAAGCAGATAGAGCTCTGAATTTTTTACATGATATAGAACGAGGTTGGCTTGATTGGACACCCGAGTTTTAAACTTCCATCAGGCTCGAGTGAATTTGGGCATTTTTTTTTATTTCAGTCTCCAATCAAAAGTGTGCAAGGTGTTTCGAAAATTCGCCCTGTCTAGCTCTAAGAAGATAGAGCGCTGTACTCTTTGGCAAATATAGAACAACTGCGCCTCTATTGGACAGGTGAGTTTCCTACTTCTATTAAGCTCGAGCAAATTTGGGCAGTTTTTTGGAATTTTTCATCTGAAATTTTCGCGTTCAATTTGTGCCGCAGGCTGTGCTTGAAAAATTCGCTCTCTTGAGCCCTAAGAAGATAGAGCCGTGCAGGTCCTGGTGAATGTAGAGCAAGCTCAGCTCTATCAGGTGGCAGAGATGCCAACATTTTTCCGACCTCAAGTCAATTTGGGCATTTTTTCGATCTATCCCATCTGGAACTCTATCTGAAGTTGTGCAGGCTGTGGTTCAGAAATTCGTCCTCTTTAGCGCTAACCAGATAGAGCGCTGATTTTTTCAGGGAACATAGACCAAGGTCGGCTCTATTTGGGCTGGTTAATTTCAAGCTTCGACTGTGCTCGAGTGAATGTTGGCAATTTTTTTAATCTTGAATTTCCTGCCTTCGATTAAAAGTGTGCTGTATGAAACTCTAAGCAGATAGAGTCGCTACACTTTCGGCGAATTTTTTGAGTGTAATGGAGTGCTTTGGACCAGTGAAGGGCTCCTGGGTCAAAATTTGACCGTAATTTTATATCGCAAAATTGGGGAAATTTCGAAAAATTTTCCAGAAATTTTGGAAATTGGCAACTGCTCGCTTACTGTTGATCCTAGCGAAAAAGCGAATACCTGCTTTTTTATGGCGCTTGACAAAAGCTGTTGACTGGAGTGGCTGGGTTTGTTCCAGCTCTGTTAGTGGTGGAGATATTTGGATTTTTTTATAAACTATGTTTTCTCAATTTCCTCGTATCCTGTGCAGGGTGGAAAGTTGCAAAATTGAATGTGAATAGGGCTTGACCAGCCCTAGATTTTATCAAGAATACCTTTTTTCGATTGGAAGCTTCGTTTTCGAGCAAAAAAATTAAAAGCGGAATTTCGAAAAAATCCAAAGGGTTTGACCCTCGGAATTTTGGGCAAAAAATTTTTTAATTTTTTTTTCAACCTTTTCTTATCAGGCTGCTGGATATGGAAAAGTTACTTAAGAAATCGACGTTGGTTGGCTCGAAAAAAAATTCCTCTGTGAGCTACAGGGGGAAGACGAAAAATGTTGTACAGGCCCTTATGGAAGGGGAATTTCTCTCTGAGTTCAAACTGGTTTTACGCCCTTGGTGTTGCCGCAATCCAGTTTTGGGCTGGAATAGTTCTTATCGCCCCTTCCTTGAGCTTTTTGGGGGTTTTGCCATTTTCGAAATATCTTGACATTTGACGAAGTTACGGGCAAAAGAGTGGAGGTATGCGCAACTGCAACAGTCGAACGGTTGCCAACATTCCGGGTCCATTTTCTCCCAAAAGCGTGGCCGATGGCGATTTTTGTCTAGACAGTCGAACTCTGGCAAATTCCCGTGGGAGCCCAGTGGAGTTTTTGGTTTTCAAATGAGTTGAACAGTGGCGGAGTTATGGGCAAATCAGTGCGCAAACAATGGGGCTGACAGTTTCAGTTTGTCCAAATTCAAAGCCCAGTTTCCGCGAAACTTTATACGGGAACCTTGGTAACGGAAAGTGGGGTTTTGGGCTAAATTCGTCTCTTTAGTGAAAAATTCGCGCATTTGCGATTTTCGGAAAATTCGGAAATTTTCATTTTTTTTTTCAAAAAACCGGTGCGTAATGGAAATTTCGCTCACATGCAGTGTTTTTGGCAATTTTCTGCACGCCCCTGGATAGGGAAGGTCCATGCGCACCAAAATGCCAGTAATGATTTTTCCCCCACAGTGGGTCATTCTCGGGGTAGCGGGAAAAATTCACCAATATACTCCAGTTCGCGCATAACTCCCTTGGGGTGGGTTTTAGCCCCGAACCCCATAGGGGCTTTTTCACGCAGTGAGGCCCCAGCTATCCAGCAGCGCCAGGCGCTTGCGCCTATCTGCCCCCGTTTCGGAGATATGACCATCCAAAGGTAGCGTTTATGTGGCAACAGCGCGCACCTACCTGATGGGCGAGTGGGTGGTCCCCATGGGCACGATGCTGGATATCCGCAAAACCTCCAGAATCGTCGACTCGGTCACCGGCAGATAAGCTAGATCCTCTAGCTTGGGTAGCCGCAGCCGCCCCACCACTTGGTCCAGCTCCTCTTGGGCGGCGCGCATGTGCTCCGGATTGTGCATCATGAAGAGCACCGCCCAATGCAGCGAGCTCTTGATCGTCTCCATGCCGGCGGAGAACATGTCGCCGATAATCTGCTGCATCTGACGATCTGCAACAGGCGGCAACAGCGCCCGTTAGTTACGGGGGTTGGTGGAAAGGTTGCCAGCACCTACCGTGGTCTTTGCCCTCGAACAAGTGGTCGGCCACGCCCTCTTCCTTGGCCTTCTGGATGGCGAACAGGTAGGTGTCGAGCAGGTCGCGCAAGTGGCTCGGATCGAAGGTTTTCTTGTGATCGTCGATCACCTCTTGGAAGAACTGCGCCATTTCCTCCCGGTTCTGTGGAGGAGGGGGTTTTGAGGTCTTTAGACGGAGGTTGGGGGGCTGGGTGGTTACCTTGGCGATCTTCTGGCGCGTCTTGCTGTGGCCCGGCAGGTAGCGCAGGATGGGGATGAAGAACACGTACTCGAGGGAGCCGAAGAGCTGGAAGCCCTCCTCGATCAGCTCCATGAAGCGGATGAAGCGCGAGTCGTTGTGGCTGAACTTGACCGACATCAGAACATCGCAAATCACATTGGAAATGGAGACGGCCAGGACCGGGTTGAGGTCCAGCGGCTCTCCATTGGCCGCCTGCAGGATCTGCAGGAAATCGTCCACCTCGCTCACGATCCGCTTCTCCATGCGCGCTTTCCTCGAGCTCAGGTACGACATGCCGAAGTGGCGCAGCCCATCGTGCACGAACCTGCGCTGCTCCTTCCACAGCTTGCCCGAGGTGTTGATCACTCCTGCAAGAAAACCAGCAATTGTTGAGCGGAAATCCGGGAAAATCCGTCTGGGGGCAGGGGAGTCCATGGAAAACTTCCCCCTCAAAAGCGAAAAAACGCCTCCCTCGATGGGAAAGCTTCGATGCACGCGCCGAGTGCACGTGACCCCTGGGTCATTCTCCGATTGGCGCCGCCAGTTGCCAAACTTTTGTGTTCTCCCAAACAGGGCTTTTTCCCGAAAAACTTTGTTCGCTGGAAAATGTGCGCAATTTTCCGGGCTTTTCAGTGGCATTTTCCCAACTTTCCATGTT